GAGAGAGAGAGAGAGAGAGAGAGAGAGAGAGATAGAGCGCAAATTTACCATCACTAGTAAACACTGTATGATTAAGTGAGTACACATTTCCCCTCATATTAGCCAACCAGACATCGTATCCATGTGTGGCCAACACAAAGGCCAGAGCGTTGCCGACCTGACCCTCACGTCCCGGTTCGCTATACACGCCCCGGGAGTCCAGAGCACCGGCAGAGTTAATCAGCCAACCCTTGCTTGAGCTTTGAAAGCCGTGTTGAAGTAGTATAGGCTTTAGGGTTGACCTGTCTTTTATATATGGGTTGACTATCCGATGGAAAGTCAATATATACCCATCTGTTGTTGTTATGTAATGGGTCTCCGATTGAAAGCCTCGAGATTCTATGATTTCCACCTAGGTGATTGAATTTAGAAATAAATTATATTGTTTTAGTTAAATGGATATTAACAGTGTATATAATTGTAAGATATTTCAATCTATATTAACCATACGGATTAATCAGATTAACTTATATTTATTTATAGAAACAGCAATGAGGTTACTAATCAAAGTCCAATATTGTATTTATTTCGCTATTTGTTAATAAATTTTAAGAGTATATTTTTAGATATATAAATAGATTATGTTTTCTGCATGGTTAATTATAATATTGTGATAAAATTTTATTTGGATGCATCATGTACCTAATAAACTTTGACATTGAAATAACACGTTTTTGGTTATTTGTTAAAATAATTTTGTAAGTAATTTGAGAGTGTATACACAAAATAATTGTTAACACTTTATTCTATAGTCTGTCAAGTTTTATATCATATCGTTCTCTCTCTCTCTCTCTCTCTCTCTCTCTCTCTCTCTCTCTGTTCACTCGCACACTCTGTTGTATGCAATAATAAACACATCTATAAAACAATTTACAAATAAAATAAGTAAAATATATCATAATTAATAAACCATAAAAACAATATAATTTATTTCTAAATTCAATCACCTAGGTGGAAATCATAGAATCTCTCTCTTTCGGAAAAATATATTTAGTTAAATAATTTTCTTGATTGAAATAATTTGTAATAAGTAAATTGAAATAAGTAGTGAAGCCAAAAATAAATTGAAATATCTATCTCTATATATAATTCAGTTGAATGTATCATAATTACAGTCTATACTTAACACACGCTCTCTCTCTCTCCCTCTCACTCTAGTTAATAATTAGGATAATAATATAATATTTAATAATTAACCCAAATTAAAATATTTATAACATTATTAGACATTATTAATAAATAAATAATATAATAAAGTACATACTGAGGTTCTAACAGTATCCAAATCATGATTGTATCCAGGTAAACATTTTAATCCATTGATCATGAAATCACCACTCGGTGCTAAATATATGGCCAGTAATATAACCAAAACAAAACTACAATACTTCACAATTTTATATGAATTTAATTTAACAAAACTTTCAAAACTCGTAGAACTCATAATTATAAACAAAATTAATTATAATTATTACAATTAGTTTAATTAATTAGATGATAATAATTAGGTTAGTATACAAACTTATCTTTAAACTTTTAATTATATTAATTAAAATTATTAATTTAATTATAATTATACGTCGCAGAGAGAAACTGTTTGTAACTTTCATATAAATAAATAGTGTTTTACAAAATAAAAAATAAATGTTTTTATAGATTATATATTATTATATATTTTCAACAACAAAAATAATTCAATTAATAGATAGTTTATACGGACTTTGAAATCAAACATAGTTTGAAAAACTGTTTAGTTTTTGTTTATTATATAGAGTTTACACTTTAAACTCCAATAGTTTATGTACTATATAATTATACGTCGCAGAGAGAAACTGTTTGTAACTTTCATATAAATAAATAGTGTTTTACAAAATAAAAAATAAATGTTTTTATAGATTATATATTATTATATATTTTCAACAACAAAAATAATTTGATGATAACTTATCATGATCACTTAATATAACTTTAGAGTACATAAACTATTGGAGTTTAAAGTGTAAACTCTATATAATAAACAAAAACTAAACAGTTTTTCAAACTATGTTTGATTTCAAAGTCCGTATAAACTATCTATTAATTGAATTATTTTTGTTGTTTTTGTCGGTTCGCAACAAAACTCAATGCATTTAATACATGTTTATAAAATTATTACATGTATTGTTGTATATAATAAGTACATAATATGGCAATGAATATTAAATTATTTATTAGTAACTAGTATGCTATTTGTTATTATCTATTGTATTATAGACTTTGTACAATGTTTGTTGTATTCATAGGACTTTTACATAGGTTTATTACATAGCTATTATTTAAACAATTTATTCAATTAATTGTTTAAACTATTGTGAATCATCAACCCGGATGTTTATTAAGAATAATTATTAGTAGTAGCTAGATATGAACATGCTATTATTTAATTTATCTTGTTAAGATAACTTGTTTGCATCTAGTTTGCCTTGAGCTCTCAAAAAGTAAGCTTTAAGTAATTTCCCTGCAGATTAAATACTAAATACTTTTATTGACTATCATAATAAAATTACCTCATATAATTTTTGATTTATTTTAGAAAGATCCTGGTGCAACTGTAAACTTCTCACAAAATTAATTAAAAAATATAATATTTAAAAATCATTAATTTTGTTTTGGTAAATTTTTAGCCCAAAGAAAAGTTATTTTACAAATTATTAAAAAATAATTGATTAAAAATTATAATTAATTACAGTTTTTAAAAATAAAACCCATATGGTATTACAAGCGTCTAAAATACTATACTGTATGTATTATAATTGTCCAAAACCAAAACAAACATGTACGCAAAACAACCAATTGTGTACCTTGTCTGTGTAACCATCATGGTTATTTCACAAGTTGCTGGTTACCGGCTCTACGACTATCACCCCAGATATTTGCCAGAGACACACTATCCACATCATTATGGTAAATCTGGGCACCATGATCATTTAAACTATTACGATGATGGTGATTATGGCATTAAAAATTACGCCGGAGACGCTGTAACCGCGGCGCTCGAGTCGGATAAAAAACCAAACTCACCCATTACTAGCGCACAGCCCGTTGGCAAACCGGTGGCGTCACCAGATGTCGCCAACTACAACATGTTAGACGAAAAACTAGGTGGAAAGCTCGGCGTTCGGCCCAAGTTCAGAAATGACCACTTTATGTTTGATGAAGATGATGAAGAGTATATCTACCGATCACGTGAGCCATACAATCCCCAGCATCCGTGGCGATCAGATACACGTACGGACATTATTTAAACTAGCTAATTTATATATTTAAAATGTATATTGTTATTATTATTTGTAGCTAACATGCCTAAATTTGATGGCAAAAGTAATCAAGTATACCATGATAAACTTGTTGGTGGAGAGCATGGCGTTCACCCGATGTATAGACCCGCTGGCGAAGACAGGTATACTGGAGGCGAAAGTAGTGTTCACCCTGTATATAGACCTACTGGTGGAGACCTGTATGTCGGCGGAGAGACAGGTGTGCACCCTATGTATCATAAGTATGCATAAAATATTTATTATAATGACTATTTATATGCTGAGAATAGCGATCGTGGTATAAATGTATGTGCAATTAATTTAAATTAATAAATAAATGCAAAATTTAATTATTTTTTTGGTAGTTTTAATATATATTTTAAATATAGTACTTTATTTATTTAGCTTTACTATTTTCTGTAATAATTATTTTGATTACACAGAATAAATATAAATAAAAATATTAAATGATTAACATTATTAATGATAATGCGCTAACGAGTGCGTTAAGTGTGTCTGTTTAATATATCAAATTTATCATGATCAAGTTTAAAATGTGTTATTTAACCCTAACATTAAATGGCATCAAATACAGTACTGGATATATTGTGTTAGTCATTCTCTGTAATATAATATTAGGTGTAAACAATTTGTGAAAATATAAATAACATTTAGTTTTAAATACTGTTACAAATTGATTGTATTTATTTAAAAATAATTATTATTTAAAATAATTTATTTGGAAGTGCTATCAAAAACATAACTTTTAATTGTTTAAATACAACTTATATGTGATAATTACATCAATAAGGTAAAAATTTTAATATACAAAGACATTATATTTAACAAAAATAATATAATTAATTTCTACCTTAATTATATTAAACATAAGCAATGGCTAAATGTTGGCCTAGCTTTCTATGCCAGAATAGGCACAGGTATCAAGCAATTGGTATTACTCGGGACGATATTGGACCACCATCAAACTTTCAACACGTGCAACACCTGGCGGTTACCACTGGTGATGGGCTAATACACAATAATCATGATAAAAGCCGGCCTGTGTCCATGCATTCAAACGATCATCTTATAAATGAATTGCGCACAAAATTACACAGTATTTAATTAATAACAATAATTTTAAACTACCTTTATTAAATACTTACCTCATATTTTAACATTTTAAAAGTAAGCATCTGAACACACACCCTCACACACCACTTCGAACCCACTTCAGAATTTTATTTGCAAATTAACCACCTTGCTCATCTCTCTTTTTTGAGGTACAGTTTCCACCCAATTCATGTACAATGTACAGTGAAATACAGTTAATGGCCCGGGAGTTAAAGGTTAAAAGTTAGTATATAATTGTTAGTACATAACATAAAATATCTAAAATAGATATAAGGGGGCGGTCAAGTGATTCCAAGACTGCGGTTTTCATTATATCTCTTAAACGAGATGAGATAAATTAATTCTGTAAAAGGCATTCTATAGCCCCATATACGCGGGATCTGCTGCATAGGCGGTCAATATATTTTGGTCACGTGGTATACAAAATATGGGACAATTCGGAATGGGCATGTTATTGGCCAAACCATAAGAAATATAAAGATGGTCCCCATGGGTAATTTATAAAGGGATAAATTCTGCACACAATAAAAAAAGAATTATTAAAATCTGATCAATAGTATAGGTTTTATGGCTTAATAAAGACAGACTTTTCGTAATGCTAATCCTATGAGGAAATTTTAAGTAAAAAATATTGAGATGGTCCCAATACAAAATATTTAGAGTAAATAATTGTGTATAATATAAAAAAAGAATTAT